AAAAAAAAAAAAAAAAAAAAAAAAAACAGAAAGAAATGAATTGGCCAACTAAAAATATATAGAAAAAATCAGCCGGGCATGGTGGCACATGCCTGTAGTCCCAGCTACTCGGAAGGCTGAGGCAGGAGGATTGTTGGAGCCCAGGAGTTTGAGGTTTCTGTGAGCGAGGCTGACACCACGGCTGCCGGGGCCACAGAGTGAGACTCTGTCTCAAAAAAAAAGAAAAACCTCAGGGGACGAGAGGGAGGGAAGGAAGCAAGCAAGAGGACGGGAAGCCAGGCGTGGCACCCGCCCGGAGTCAGGTGACAGCAGAGGAGCGTGGGGTGGCCGGGTCTCCACGCAGCAGTGCTAGTGCAGGTTGTGCGAGTTCCGCATGGCCACAGACGAGCTTTCTCCCCCACTCCCAGGTCCTGGCATGGCCGTCCTCACTCCTCCGCCTCCCCGTGGGGCGGAACGAAGGCGGCAGGCTCAGGAGTGTCACGAGGACGAGGCAGAAGTGGGAGTCTGGGCAGCTGTGTCGCAAGTCACCTGCTTCTCTGGTCTGAGGCTCTGGGGCTCCGTCGTCCCAGGCTCAGCGTCCCCCTCTGTCAGACAGGTGTCGGGCCCAGCCTCCAGGACAGGGCCCGGACCTGTGCCACCATCACCTTCATCATCGTCGCCGCGGTCATCATAGACACCATCACCACTGTCATCATCATCATCACTGTCCCCACTGTCGTCAGCACTATCGCCATGTCGCCATCTTTGCCACCACTGTCATCGTCATTGCCACCACTGTCATCATGATTGTCACCACTGTCCATGATTGTCACCACTGTCATCATTGCCACCAGTCGTCATCATTGCCAACACTGCTGTCACCATCTTCATCACCAGTGTTGTCACCACTGTCATCGTCATTGCCACCACTGTCATTGTCACCACTGTCCATGATTGTCACCCCTGTCATCATCATTGCCACCAGTCGTCATCATTGCCAACATTGCTGTCGCCATCTTCATCACCAGTGTTGTCACCACTGTCATTGTCATTGCCACCACTGTCATCCCGATTGTCACCGCTGCCATCGTCATTGTCACCACTGTCATGATTGTCACCACTGCCATCGTCATTGTCACCACTGTCATCATGATTGTCACCACTGCCATCGTCATTGTCACCACTGTCATCATGATTGTCACCACTGCCATCATTGTCACCACTGTCATGATTGTCACCACTGTCATCATCATTGCCACCACTGTCATCGTCATCATTGCCAACATTGCTGCCACCATCTTCATCACCAGCATTGTCACCACTATCATCATTGTCACCTCTGTCATCATCATTGTCACCACTGTCATCATCACCACTGTCATCACTGCCACCAGTCGTCATCAGCGTTGTCCCCACTGTCCCCACTGCCACCACTTTCATCGTCATCATCGTCACCGTCACGGCTGTCATGGCCGTCAGCGTGTGGGGCAGTGGGCCCGTGAGAATGCTGGTTTAGGTATCAATGTTCTCTCTTTTCCACGCATGTACAGGGTGTGAAAAACTTCCCTTTCCTATCGAATCCGGCTCTGGTTATGTTCCCTCAGAAATATCGGATTGCTGATTGTTTACAAGACAGCTTGAAGCACGCAGAAGGGGCTCTTTCTTGCACCCAGGCATAAAAATCTCCCTGTCACCCAAACGGTCTCGGGACCCTCCCTGGTGACAGGGACAGGCGATCTTAAAACGTGACTCCATCCTCTTCTTCGGGGTGGGAAGGAGGGTGTCGGCGACTTTGTGCGCCACCCAGCGTTCTCTAAGACCACGGGTGTCTCCAGGGGACAGGACACAGTCCCAAGTGGCCTGTCACTGTAGTTTTTACGACGGCCTCGAAGCCGGGAACCACACGGATGGCCAGCCCGCAGCAGCGACTGCTCGCCAGCCCGCGCTCTGCAGGTTTTCAGCGCAAACAGAAAAGTGAAACAATGTGTTCTTTACACAGAGTACAAAGTAACTAAGATGCCCTACTGCTTGGTGAGAGGCACAGAACCTCCCCAAGGCCGGAGGGCCCCTGCTGTTAGAATCCCAGCTCCGGTGTTCGCATGAACGAGCCTGTTTCCTCATTGGTAAATTGAGGCACCTCTCCCTCCGAGCCTGCACAACCTCCCTTCAGTTCCGACCTCTGTGGACCGTGGTGGCTCAGTTCTAGGGTGTGAGACAGACCCTTCCTGGAGGGGCTGGGTGGCCAGGTAAAACGCAGGACGCCCAGTTACTTACTGCACGGGACACACTCACTGTCGATCTGAAGTCAAGCCTCGCAGGGGGGTCCTTATCATTACTGGCTGAACCGGGCTGCCCTACGCGGGTGCCGCCTGATTTCTGACACCTGGGAGCCCCAGGTGAGGCCTGAAGAACCCGAGGGGGAGAGCGAGGGAACGCGGTGTCAGGCTAGGAGGCAAGCCCGGCCTCGGTCTCTGCAGAGACACCTCCCAGATGAGATCAGAGCAACGCCATGGAGACCCTGAGTCACCGGGGCGCCGCGCCCTGCCTCCCGAACAAAGACCTCCTTTAAAGAGCCCAGGAAAAGGGCAGGGGTGAAGCGTCACAGCTGAGGAATGTGACGGTTTGCCCAGGTGGGTGGACGGGACAGACAGAACGCACTCGGGGGTGGCAAGCCCCGCTGGGCTGCGGGGCGCTGGGCCTCCCCGTTGCGAACACCGGGAGAGAAGCCTGGCCAGACAGGCGCACGGCACTGCACGGCACCCACGCGGCGCATCTTGGTTTTCTTCCTTCTTTAGAAAAGGAACTTTCTTTTAGGGGGGTTAGAATTCCTGCGATTCCAGCTCAAAGGACTGTGTTGGGAACTGGTGCCCCAAACCTCCATCCCGGTGGTCCGCAGGGTGCAAAAGGGAGCGGCCACCTCCGCTTCATCCCAGGGACCTGCAGGAGGCCGTGGGCCCCTCCCGGGGAGGCAGGGACAGCTGCCTGGCCCGCGGGAAGCCTCTCACCAGCAGGAAGCGAAAGAGGATGGGGCGGGGGCGGGGGCGGGGCACCCACCGAAGTCCCCACCTGCTGGGCCTCCCACAGACTGGGCTGTGTGACACTGAGCGAAACCCCTGCCCGCTGCCCACACTGGGCCACTGTGAGAGGGAGCCCAGCCCTCAGGATGTGTGCCCTTTTCTACACGTTATAGGTCAATAAAAACATTTACTAAAAAATAAAGGGTGTGCAGTTAGAAGTAGGGTCCATGGTTACCCACAGGGAGCCCATGGCTGGGAGGAACACAAGAGGGTTGCTGGGGGGGTGGCCCTGGGGACGGGAAGTCTGCCTGGTGATCCGGGGCGCTCTTCCTATGTGTGCGTGTGTTCCTATGTGCACGTCACCCCCCTGGTTAGTCTCGCACAGGGCAAGTGCGGGGCGGGGGGAGGGGCGGTACACTTAGCTGTCCCCCAGGAGGCCTGGCCTGGCTCCCACCGTAGGTAAGCAAGAGGGATTCCCCGCCAGGGTCAGGGGTCACCCCCTGGCCTTGCCATTTACCAACCACGTGCCCACGGATTAGTCACTTTTGCCTGTAGCAGCCTGTTTTCCTCACCTGTGAGATGGGGACAAGGACGGTATTTGGTCAGAGGACTGGTATGAGGGTGGAAACAGGACGCCCAGGGTGTGGCCCACGAGGAGCGCTGGTTAAGCAGTAAACGTGTCACCACTCCCGCTCGCAGTGCCCACGGAGGGCCTTTTCCCCTCTCAGGTCTCCAGAGGTGACCTAAACCTCCAGCTCGGAAACTACTCTGTCCGGGCGCTGCGCCCGCCCGGGTGCGCCCTGCCCTCCGGCGAAGGCGCGTGCAGGGCGAGGAGATTAGGCTGCCGGGCTTCCAGCTCCTTGGGGCCTGCGGAGGGATTAAGTCTTTCCATAAATACACGGCCTCCCTCCCATCCGCGGGGCGGAGTACCTGGGGTGAGGAAGTAGGACCCGACGTGGCTGTGGCCTGCACAGGTGAGGGAGTGGGCAGGAGAAGCCAGAACCTGAGGCTCGGGGTGCGCCTCCGGGCCTCAGTTTCCCCATCTGCACTCAAAGTTGAGGCGCCTGTCCCACCCCGCCTCGCTGCTGCCTTCCCAGCCCTTTTGCTCCGTCTCCCGGGACCCCAGGGCTGCTCGGCCCCCACGGACTTTCCTCTCGCTGCCCTAGTCCCGACCGCGCCCCCAGCACGGGTCCGGGTCCCCCTTTTTCACCGAGCGCCTCCCCCGCCCCGCCGGCTCCCGCCGGGAGAAGGCGCGCGCGCGTCCACACCGGGCGCCCTTCGCGGTTGCAAACCTGCTTTGATGCCCTGGGAGCGCAGGGGCCCCTAAGTGAGGCGGCTCATAAATAATAGATTCCGAAGTACTCGATGGAGGGGAAATGGCTCCTCGGGAGGCCGCCGCCCCCGCCTCCAGCCGGGCTCCTCTCCAGCTGCGGGCCGTTAACGCGGGGCTCGTGACGGCGCGGAGCCGGGCGGGGCGGGGGCCAGAGGCGTCCACGCGGGACACGCCCCCGCCGCCCGAGGGGCCCGACTCCCCCAGAGCGCGCGCGTCCGCAGCGAAGTCCGCGAGAAGTTGGGGGGCGTCGGGCCGCGGAGGGCCCGCGCCGCCCCGCCCCTCTGCCCAGCCGCGCTGGGACTTTCACGCGTGGCGGCTCACTGCCCAGCCGCGCCCGGGGCGCACGGGGCCCGCCCGGGCGCTGGTGGCGGTGACTTGGATCGGGGGGCCGCGGCGACGAGTCTTTGAGAGAGAGAGAGCGGCAGGAGGTCTGACCGGCACGGCGCTGCTCGGCCGCCTCGCGCGGCCCGCCTGCTCCTGGAAGGGCGGCGCGCTGACGGCACCGACCGCGCGGGCCCGGATCTGCAGGGGGCGCGGGGCGGAGCGGCCCGCCCGCCGCCTCCCGGGGAGCGCGCCAGGACCCGCCCGGCGCCCGCCTGGCTCCACCTGCCCGCCTGTTTCCTCAGGCCAGGCCCTGGGGGGTCCCGCGGAAAGTTTGGGCCGCTGCCCCGCGGGCTCCCCACCGTGCACCCCTCCCCGGGGCTGGGTGCCACACTCCCTGCGGCCGTGCACCCCAGCCTCCAGGGTTAGAAAGAGACGCTGGGGTCCCACCGTGCCCAGGGGCCCTGCTCGAGTGGGCCCCGCTGCCGGGAGGGCGAGTGGGGGGCGAGGAGAGGGAGGCTCCACCAACTTGCCATCCCCAGCATCCAGCACCCCCTCTCTGGTGTAGGGCCCCCCACCCCCTGGCTCCAGCTGTGGGGGTTCAGATACCCTTGTGATCAGTGAGCAGCTTCTCAGTGTTGGGGTCTGGCCCTTTGGCTGTCCACACATGCCTTTGCACCCCACTTCTTGGGGTGCTGCCTAGGGGGGCGGGGTTCGCCTCCTGCCCCTGGCCTAGAGCAGTGCCCAGTGCCCCGCAGTGTGGGTGCCGACACCTCTTGCCCCAACCGGCTTCTCAGGAGGCAGCCCCACCGCCCTCCCCATCACGGGGGAGGCCTCTGCAGACAGACACCGGCCTAGCTGGACAGGGGAGCAAAATCAACCCCTGCCCCATGTTCCTGTGTCACCGTCACCAGCCTGTGGTGCCATCCCCATCCAGCGAGCCCAAGGTCTGCACACCTTGTGCTTGCTGTACTTCTGGAGGCTTAGGAGGGGAAACTGAGTCACAGAGCAGGAAAGTGACATTGCTTTGGTGAACGCAGCCAAGAGTGGCAGGAAACAGAGTCAGCGTTCTAGCCGTGTGTTCTTGCCTTGGGACTCCGGGTTCCTTGAGTGTATTGAGTCTGGAGTGACAGGCAGGAAATGTATCATGTCCCTCCACCTGCCCCCCCACCCCCCCTGGAGGGGCAGGCAGGCGTGGGGCAGGACATTCCTTGCACTTGTGCCACCCTCAGCGGCAAAATGGGACCTGCCGCTGTGCTGTGCCCAGTGTGCCCACCAAGCTGTGCCCCATGGCTTGGCCTTGTGCCTGGGTCGCGGCTGAGGGCACGTCCCTGGGGAGCCGCTAATGTTGGGGCCCAGAAAACAGTACCCCAAAGTGGAGGCCTCAGAAGTAGACTCAGATGCAACGGTTTTTCTCCGACTTCCTGTCTGCCTGCCTCTCAGTCCGTTCTCCCCCGAGGCTGGCACTGAACCGAGAACCTCTCCTCCCCAAGGGTGGGGAGTGTCCTCAGAGCCTGAGCCCCTTTTCCTAAAAGCCAAACATAAAATCCAAATCATTGCATTTGAAAACTGGCCATAAAGTAATTATGGGACCCGCCTTGTTTGGCTGTAGGCACTGCAGGGAGGGCCCTGCCCACGCCCATGAGGAAGGATCTAGAAAGGCCTTGTGGTTCTCCCCACTCAGGGTGTTAGCATCAGATCACGCCCTTTGTGTCCAAGCACATTGCTACGGGGCTGTCCACCCTTTGTGGAACCTAGGCATGGAAACGGACAACTTCCCCCGTGTGTGCGGGTCT